TTGATGCTGGATTTCTCGACGTGCTTCTCATTTCCAACGATTTGAGGGGAACTGGCAAAATCTCAATGACTTTTCCTTTTCCCAAGTACCGAATAACGTGGTTGGTGGCTCATGTAGCATTTCCCCCGCTTAGAGGCTGTTCTCAGGAGAACACGAGTCCGTCACAGCCTCTCGCCATGCGTGATTTTACAAAACCGAGATTCGTTTCCATTTTAAATGTGGTGAGAGAGTTTTGGGTTTTTTTTTTTTTTAATACTTATTTTTTAATTTATTTTTGGTACTGGGGATTGAACCCAGGGGCAATTCACCACTGAGCCACATCCCCCAACCCTTTTTATGTTTTATTTTAGACAGGGTCTCGCGAAGTTGCTCAGGACCTTGACAAGTTGCTGAGGCTGGCCTCCAACTTGGGGTCCTCCTGTCTCAGCCTCCCAAGCTGCTGAATTACAGGAATTCACGACGGCACCCAGCCTGTGAGATAGTTTGGACATGTAAAAGGGTGTAAATAGTCATATAACCAACACCCAGTGTACTTTCACCCAGTTTTACCAAACTGTTGAGACCCCTTTTCTACACTATTCAGATTTGACATTTGTCACCTCYGTGGGTCCTTCCTGCCTTCGGGACACCTGTGTGTTTGCTTCAACTATCGTCTCATGTGGTCTGAAGCGGGCACCGTGGCGGGTGGCGCCTGGGTTCTGTCTCTCCCTGTTTTCTTTGTGAGTCACAAGCTCCGCGTCGTGTGTCCTGGCAAATGACTCACTGTCCCACGGAGCCATGATGTCACCCTGTATTGTTTCCATTCTCCTGGTGGTGAACGTCTGGGTCGCCCCTCACTTGTCCCTCTTAGAAGCCAGGCTGCCGTGGACCCTTCTTGGACGCACAGGGAGAGGGTGAAGGGAGGACACTGGCCCGCGTCCCCGGGKCCCACGGACGACCTTCTGCGTCCCAGGAGGATGGGTGTTAGTAGTAGATATCAGTCTGCGTCCCACAGGTCGCGGCGGGAGTTCCCGTTAGGGCCCACCCTCGCTCCACGTGACGYGGGTTGAGCTTTGACTTCTTTGCCAATCTGATAAAGTCCAATGGTTTGTCACTGTGGCTTTCATTTGCATTTCTGAGCTGATGGGAAAGTTAAGCACTGCACCTTCTCCTCCGCAGCTCCGACTCCAGCCTGGCCTCCCACCCCYGAGCCTCTCTGCTGTCCCAGAATGTCCCAAAACTTGGCCAAAATCATGTCCCCGCCCYGGAGGCTGCTGGGTGAACCCTTCTGCACGGCTCCTCCTGCGGGGTGCAGCCTGTGCTCACAAGAAACCRGCAGCAGAGATCCGTGGCCCCCCATTTTATACAAGAGAAAACAGAATCAGAGGGGTTAGGTGACTTGCCCAGGGACACACAGCCGGGAGGCTGTAGACTCCAATTCAGGGACTCTTCTCTCTCCTGGAGGAGGCCGTGGAGGTGGGCGCCCAGGGAGGCCACGGGGGGAGGCTCAGGACACTCTGGGCTGCTTTCTGGAGTGGCCTGGTTCACATGGGGAGAAGTCACCGCGGCCCTCAGGAGTCGGCTTGAGTGGGAAGACGCCTAAAGGGCTGGATGCGGGGCCGAGAGGGAGGTGGCGCTGGGGGGCGGCCATCTGGGCAGGGCCTCTGCCTTCTCCGCTCACCCCCTGGGCAGAAGCCAGAAGCTGGACCCGGCCATTTGGTTCTGCAAAACCTCAAACACGTAGCTCTTCCTCCCGCTTTTACACAGGGACAAGCTGAATCCCTGCTCTGGGGAGCCCTGGGCCGGTCACAGGCGTCCCCAAGGCTCCACGCTGTCCTGCTTTCCGGCCGAGCTGTCACTCTCCGCTGTGTCCCTGTTTACTTTAGGGGACACTTGGGGGCACTCTCCCTGACCCCAGGACCCCAGGACCAGGCGCTGCGTGGCTGTCCCAGGGAGGAGACGTCCCCACCACCCAGGCCCCTCAGAGGCASCGCTGGGGGCAGACGGGCAGGCGGCGCGGAGGGTGCGACTCGGCCAGCGGGCACCACGCCTGCCCGGGCATCCTGGTCATCTGCAGGGTTTTCTTTGGGGACATGTTGATTGGAGTAAAAACTGGGGGAAGGGGAGGAGAAATAGCAAGCAGATAAGAGCCCCAGGGAAGGTGCGAGTGGCAGAGTTCTGGAACATTCCGGCATGGCATCGGGAGGGAGAAGGTGGGCCGTGGGAGCTGGGGCTGGAGGACAGGAGAGGGACAGTGCCAGGGGGAGAGGACTCGGCCGTGCACAGGGGCGTGATGGGGCCCCGGGTGCTGGGAGGAGTGCGGCCTCCGGAGCAGGAGGGAGGAGGGATCCGGGCCCTGGAGGAGCTTCTCGCTGCTCACAGCACTAGGATCAGAGGCCACGTTCAGAGGCTGGGAGCAGAGGCCAGGAGCAGAGGCCAGGGTTGCTCCCGTCTCCAAGATGGTAACTGAGGACCAGGGGAAGGATTTTGCTCCGCGATCCTCAAATCTGGGCCCTCTTCTCTCTCCCTCTCTGTCAGATGTCCTTGGTGGTAAGCAACAGAAACAGCCCTTGACACAGCTGACCAAAGCAGGGGCTTTGGGGCTCATGTCAATGAATGGTCCAGATGCGGCCGTCAGGTACGGCTGGATCCAGGTCCTCTAAGCTGCCGTGGGGACTCTGGGTCTGTGCTTTCCAGTAATTTCATCCTTTCCAGGCAGGCCTTAGGAGGTGACCAAGATGGCTGCGAGTTTCTAGCAGGTACCCCCAAAMGTCCCCCTGCTGGAGTTTTAGGGAAAATTCCCAGGACTGTGTCAATGGTGTTGCCTGGTTTTAGGTCCATCCCTGATCCAGCCGCTGTGGCCGGGGGCCCTCGGTGACAAGTGGAGCCCTGGGATTGGCCAGGCCTGGGTCAGGTGCCCACTCTGTGCTGCGAAGGTGGGCTCCAGTTTATGGGGCACCTCATGACAAGGGCCACACAGCCAGYGGGCGCCTTGACACCCCAGGAGTCGGGCTTGTGCAGAGCTAAGGCGAGGAGTTTGGAGGCTGAGCCCTGATCCTTAGAAAGGAGACTTTTTCCTGTGGCTGAGATGAAGCCATTTGGCAGGGACCCGGACAGGGMTATTCTTGTGCTGCGGTCGGGATCGGAGCTGTGGACTTGCTAGTGGGAGAGCAGCCGAGGACGCTCCTGTTCAATTTGGAACAACAGTGTCTTAGTTCACTTTCTGCTGCTATAACAAAACACCTGAGGTTGGGTCTTTTTTTTTTAAATACTGGGGATTGAACTCCGAGGTGCTTAACCACTGAGCCCCATCCCCAGCCCTTTTTATATTTTATTTAGAGTCAGGGTCTCGCTAAAGGAATGTTAGAAATGTTAGGCTGGCTTTGAACTTGYGATCCCCCMGCCTCAGCCTCTCSAGCTGCTGGGATGACAGGCGTGGGCCACCGTGCCTGACAGTTGTGGTCATTTTTAGTGACTAGGATTTGGCTCGTGGTGCTGGAGGCGGGGAGTCTGAGAGTGAGGTTCTGGCATCTGCTTAGCCTCTGGGGAGAGCCTCATGCCCTCATGTGATCCTAGGACCCCTCAAAGCCCCCCGCCAAGTAGCATCCAGCAACAGGGGACTTTGGGGATAAGGTCCCAGCACTTGAACTTCGGGGGACGTGGTCTGAGTCWCAGCACAAGGCTTGGAGACGGAGTCCGTCCTCACATTCCCTTATGGTGACAGCACCGCGGTTCATCTTAAAGCCTGTTATAAAAAGCACACGAACACGGATGTGATCTAATAGGATGAGGTCGCACTTTGATTTTTAGGTGGATCCATTTAAGAAGATATCGACAGTGAACAGTATCTCTCTGTGAGCCTGAGGCCGACATTTTGAAAGGGAGGAATTTTGGAAACTTTTGGCGGGATCCTTCTGGGAGTTTCCGTTTCTGATGCTCCAAGTTTTACAGGGATCCCGGCCGAGTGTTTATGTGTCCGAGGGCACTGTCAAGAGTTTTCTGCCATCGACCTCCCTAAATGCTCACGAATCCCTGGAAGTCTCCACTTTATGAGGCTCAGAGAGGGCGAGGGGCTGTCCTGTGGGCACACAGCAGRTGCTCTGAAAGTTTCTGGCTGCACAGCGTCCCCCAGGACGGCCCCCTTGTTGACTTTGTTAGAAAAAAGTYCACACGGGGCTGTCGCCGGGGCCAGAGCAGGGTCCGGGGGACTCCAACCAGGAACTGCTATGGGGGGTCAGACAGTGTCTGAGGAGAGCAGTGCCTGGGATGGGACCCCGGGGTCACGTCTCTGGGCTCCAGGTCCAGCTGTGTCCCTTCGACAGGGGCTGGTTGGGTTGGCGCTCCTGAGCCTGGGTCCACTGGCCGCTGGTGCTCCCCAGCAGAGCTGGCCGCTTTAACAGGCAAAGTYCTAGAAGAGCCTCGTCCCCAGCCCGAGGGTCACTCCCTGCCGCGGCCAGACAAGCTGTCGGGTCTCCATCTCGGCAGGATCGGGGCCCGGGCGGCCCTTCCTTGTTGGGACTGACTGTCTTGGTGCGCCCCGCGGTGGGCTGACCTGGGCTGTGGGACGGGGTAAGAAGCCTCATTCTCCGGTGGCCTCCCCTGTGTGTGGGGTAGCCGTCCCCTGGGGGGCTGCCTTGGATTCCTACTTAGGGAGAAGCCGATTTCCGGGGCCACTGTCGGCACTGGGGAGAGGACTCGGGTGGGCAGAGAAGTGCCCGCCCCTTTAATGCCACCCGCCCCTTTAATGCCACTCTTGCCACATCTGTGGGCCTGGCAGGGACAGAGGAAGAGCCAGTGTCCCCCCCTCGAGGTATCCTTTCCTGTGCTAAGAGCGAGAAGAGGGAGCTGGGCGGGGGCTGCGGGAGGAGTGACCTTGGCTAAGGGCAGGAGGCCGGGGCCAGCCTCCGCGGAGCCCTCAGACCCCGCAGGACCCTGCCCAGGCGGGCCCGGGGAGGCCGGGGGTTGAGGCCGGGGGTTGAGGCCCGCCTGCCCGCCCAGCTCCCCTCCGTGGTGTCTTGCAGGCCCCTGGACGCAGCATGCCCCCAGGCTGGGCGGTGCCCGTGCTCCTGCTGGTGCTGCAGGGGGGTAAGTAGCTGCCCCCGGTCGGGGGGTGGTAGGGGCCCCCTCCTCCCACACAGTCCAGCTGGGGCTGCGCTGGCCAAGGGAGCTCCTGGACACGGCTAGAGGCCGTCGGGACCCAGAGCCGATGGCCTCCGTCCACTTGCGACTCCTCCSCCTAGGCCAGCCCCCAACCCCCGAGGGGCGGAAGTCCTGCCTTCTGTCTAACCTCTGTCTCTCCTTATGTAACAACTTTGCCTGGAGAGCCAGGCGAGCGGGGCTGGGCAGGAGTCCCGCTGCGGGGCTGCGGAGGCCAGGGGAACTCTGCCCTGCTCTGCTGACTCAGAAGCGCTGCTCTGGGTTTTACCCAAAGACCCAGCGCCTCAAATAGCTCCTCAGGAAACAGATGTCGGCCTTGGTTTTCCTTTCSAGTGGCCAGCACCCCTGGCCAGTTTGGGCCCCCTGTCCTGGMGCCACCCCAGGGGAGCAAGCAACAGGCCCCTGCCACATGCTCAGCCTTGAACTTCACCTCCGACATCCCCCTGCCGCCCGGGAGACCCGGGCAYGGAGGCTGGGGGTGAACAGGGTTGAGGGTCAGGCCACGCAGCCGGACAGCGGCAGGGCAGAGATGGGCGCCTGGCTCTCCTGGGCTGGGTTGTGCTGCTGAGCAAAAGATAAGGGCGACATTGACTTCCCACAGTCCTGGAGGCCGGGAGTCCAAGGTCAAGGTCAAGGTCAAGGTCAAGGTCTTGACTTCCAAGATGGCGCCCTTCATGCTGGGTCCTCACCGGGTGGAAGGGACGGAGGGGCTAACGGGCAAATGCTGGCTCCCTCCTGCCCTTTGGTAGAATTGCTGACCCATCACCACCGGGTGGCCCCAGCTCCTAACCCCGTAGCCGTTTATCGGGTGTCCAAGGACAGGCCACATGTGCCTCCCTAAGACAGAACGAGCCCCTTGGTGGAGTGGCCTGGGGAACTGTGGTGGGAAGRGTTCTGAGGCCACTCTGGGGAGGGAGCCCGACCCATGAGCAATGTCTGCCCCTTGGGTCAAAGTGAAAACCCGGTCCAGTGTGGTTTACCTCCCCTGGTGGGAACTGAGCAGCACAGACCAGGGCACCAGAGATGCAGTCTAGCCTGGACCCAGAGGTGCTGTCTAGCCTGAGACCCAGAGAAACTATCTAGCCTGAGACCCAGAGGTGCTGTGTCTAGCCTGGGACCCAGAGGTGTGGTCTAGCCTGGGATGCAGAGGTGCTGTGTAGCCTGGGACCCAGAGGTGAGGTCTAGCCTGGGACCCAGAGGTGCTGTCCAGCCTGGGACCCAGAGGTGAGGTCTAGCCTGGGACCCAGAGGTGCTGTCCAGCCTGGGACCCAGAGGTGAGGTCTAGCCTGGGACCCAGAGATGAGGTCTAGCCTGGAACCCAGAGGTGCTGTCTAGCCTGAGGCCCAGAAGTGTGGTCTAGCCTGGGACAAAGAGGGGCTGTCTAGCCTGGGACCCAGAGAGGCTGTCCAGCCTGGGACCCAGAGGTGAGGTCTAGTCTGGACCCAGAGGAGCTATCTAGCCTGGGACGCAGAGGTGCTGTGTAGCCTGGGACCCAGAGGTGCTGTCTAGCCTGGGACCCAGAGGTGAGGTCTAGCCTGGGACCCAGAGGGGCTGTCTAGCCTGGGACCCAGAGGGGCTGTCTAGCCTGGGAGCCTGTGTCCTCACTCCACAGTGGGGGTGGGGTGTGTGGAAGGAAGGACCTTTCTCTGACCAGGAGGGGTCGGTCTATGCCCCCACCTCCAGGGTCCTCATTAGTGGCCTGGGGAAGCAGCTTCAGCACTTGTGGGGAGGACGCGTTGGCAGTGATGTCCCATCATACAGACCAGAGACCATGGGGCTTCTCTCGTGGACTCGTCAGCGTTTCTGTCCTGAGGGCACCTGGGTGCCTGGATGCGAGGGTGCTAGGGTCTTTGCTGGGCGGGTGTTGAATCTCCAGCCAGATCTGCTGGGACCGCCTGGCCCTGCTGCTGTGTCCCCGGGCAGCGGGAGGACACAGATCTCTGTGCCGAGGTCCAGGTGCTCTGGGTCTCCTACTCCTGGGAGCAGGGCCACGTCACCCAGGGGCCACGTCCTGTGGGCTCCGCGGCTGTCAGGCTGAGGTCCCCTCCTGGCGGGGACTTCGAGGCTTCCTGCAAGGCTCTGGTGACTTCCTGAGGTCCTGACCCTCCTGCGGGATGACAGGGTCTGTGCTGGCTCAGCCCACCCTGTGTCTGGGGCCCAGGACCTGAGTGGCCTGTCCTACAGGAGGGACAGTGACCAGGGGCCAGACACAGGTGCTAAGAGGGGACACAGCTACTTCACGTCAGGAGAGCCGAGTCACCACGCCAGCCTCAGAACGTGGGCACTAACCAGGAATCCCCRGTGACACGGATCCCTGGGTCCCTGGGTCCCCATGCTCGCCCCGGCCCTGGGGCTGCCCCACCTCATCCTCCAGCCGCCAGCCGCCCCTCAGCCCGTGTCCCCGACCCTGCAGGCTGGGGCTGCCGGGATCTCGTGTGCTACTCCGACTACCTGGAGACCGTCACCTGCGTCCTGGAGACATGGAGCCTCCACCCCGGCACGCTCACTCTCACCTGGTAAGTGGCCCTGGGGACGCTGCTCAGGGCTCCTGCAGGGCTGGGCTGGACTGGACCGAGGAGACCAGACCCKGCTCAGCAGGTAGGTCCGCGATGGCCAGAGCAGCGACCGCATCCTGGGGGCCATTAGCCATCTCACTCCAAGAAAGACCCCGCGAGCTGGGAGCCAAGCGCCCACCTTGCAGATGGTCCCAGAGGACGGTCATGTTCAGACGCTGAGCACGTGGGTGGGGATGTAACTCTGGTGAACTCCTACGCATCCCTCRGAACCCATTGCCTCTGCCCAGTGGGAGTTAAAACACCAGATCCCTCCCAATCCCACCCGRCCAGCTTCCCCAGAAGCCCACCCAGGGCAGGGGGTGAGGCTYGAAGATGCCCTTCGTCCCGGACACAGGCCTCCCTGGGTATCTGGTCCCCTCCCACGGGACTGCATTCCAGTGCCGGGTGGACAGGGGCAGATTTAGATTGATCCAAACGAGAGTGGCCAGATTTCTAAGATGGGCCCCCAATGGGGCGTGTGCTGCGGGTCCCCTGGGGGTGCGCAAGCCCAGCCTGGACACAGCCCCCCAGGGCTGGGGTGGGGAGCCTCCCYGGGAGCTCGGGCACCTGGCCCTGAGCGCTGGGCCCCAGGCCTCCAGCCATGACCGGCCRCTGTCTCCTCGAAGGCAAGACCAGTACGGAGAACTGGGGGACGAGGTCACCTCCTGCAGCCTCCACAGATCCGGCCACAATGCCACCCACGCCAAGTACACATGCCACATGGACGTGTTCCACTTCATGCCCGATGACGTCTTCAGCGTCAACGTGACAGATCCGACCGGCAACTCCTCCCGGGAGTGCGGCAGCTTCGTCCTGGCTGACAGCAGTGAGTGTCCGGCCTGGGGGGGGACCAGGTGACAGCAGTGAGTGCCCCGCCTGGTGGGGACCAGGTGACAGCAGTGAG